AAAAAAAAAAAAAAAAATTTTAAGAACAAAAAAGTGAAGTACCCACGGTGTTGTCAGTTTGAATGCGTTGGACATACTGATTATCATAATGTAGCTGCATATTGTACATTACATTATATAAATACGATGATAAAAATGTGATCAATAGATGAGAGAATGTTGCTCTGTCCACTACATTACAAATGTCACATCGGCCCATCAGTTGACATGAAAAAAAATGCAGTGAGTGGTAACTGACGGTGCAATGACTTACTGTTTCTAGTTACAAAAGTTTGTTTCTATTTTTTTAAGTTTTCAGTGGTATACGTCGACAAAAAAGGGAAAAAAAAGTAAAAAGATACAGAACTATGCAAGATGGTTGTCTTACTGCTTGTGACTATTGTATCAGCAGGTGTTATAATTGCACCCTCCTTCATCTGCTCGCGATAAAACCAACAGTCAGTCAACCATGTACATATATCTCAGTGTAAAAAAAGATATCATTTATTTATTGCACCTTGATAAGGTAAATTAGAATATTGTCAACATTCCGAAATTATGCATCGATCGTGGCGTGAAATGCAAATAAAATATGGAATAAAGAAAAAGAAAAAGTTAAAAAATAATTAGGAAAGAACCTCTCGCAGCAAAGAGAGATAGGCCTCGCAATTTTTAAGCCAAACTGGCATGGCAGTCTGCCAGATGAAGCCATTTTCGCAAAGCCCTTCAATCTCCTAATGTTTTCCTAATATTTTCCTTAAAAATATATTGTTTTTACGAAATAATCTTCCCCTAATTCAGGTCTGTCGAACTTCCCCTTTGCGAGCCACATGAGTTTGGCTCTCGGCGAGCCAAATTCTCCCTCTTCTTTTCCTCTAGGCCCTACATGAGATCCACTCTCAGCCGATTCTTTCATTGCTTCACATATTTGGTTTAATTTTGTAACTTTATCAATTTTATGTAAAAATACTTCTCACATATGTATGTATGTATATATTAGCGGCGATGCATTTTCATGATTCATAATTCAGGTCTCAATTTATCACGTTTTCTTTAGAAAAGATATGGAGATATTTGTAATTTTGGCCACAAAAAACGGATGACGGTGGGGGTTCATGTAACTCTCTGGAGAAGAAGGAAAAAAGAGTAAAATAGGTTTGAAGAGAGTTCTTTCCCTCATGGCTGAGAAAGAGGAGTACGAGCCACGGTTGGCTCGCGAGCCGTCAGTTCGACAGGCCTGCCCTTTAATTGATCAAATCGCCTTTCCGTCATATGCGAAGATTCGTATAATTATATATGAATGTTTAAACGATTTGTGAAAAATATACTGTAATTGTGCTTTATGTCTCTTCGCACACGTGTATCTCTTAACTCTCCGCACATTCAGTGCTTCCCTCTTGGATGGCATGTTCTTGTCTCTGAGGTCTCAGCTATCCAAACTTGGTCGTCGTCATTTACATTTGGTCGTAGGTCGGTCTCTGATCGGTGTCTACACCCTCCCCTCCGTCCACGGAGACTTGAATCTACTTTGTAGTGGATTTCATGAAAATTAGGGAAGAACTTGACTGGGATTTGAACTTGGGTCTTCGTGTCCGAAACAGGTCCGCTGTAATTGTGCTTTATGTAGTCTATGTATGTTAAAATTGTTTTTGTTCTGGCTGGTTTGTTGA